AAGTTCCCTCGCCTTATTTTACCAGATATACAACAACTAACATATTCCCAGGATGGCGCCTTTGCCGGACTCTCCTTCAATGACTGGCAAGCAGCCATAAGACCAAAAGTCCAAGGTTCCTGGAACCTGCACACAGTCCTCCCGGAGAACATGGACTTCTTTATCATGCTCTCCTCAGTTGCAGGCATCTTCGGTAATCGCGGACAATCAAACTACGCCGCAGGTAATACCTTCCAAGACGCGCTCGCTGCCTACCGTGTCTCGAAAGGCATGAAGGCAGCCAGCATCAACCTAGGCAGTGTATCTAATGTCGGGTGGGTTGCCGAAAATCGAAGCTCGATGCGCACGCATACAGCGACATTATTCGAGCTTCTCCGCGAAGAAGAGGTCCACGCAACAGTTGACTTCCTCATCCGTGGCCAGAAAGACGGCGGTAATGCATCGGCGCGCTCACAGCTCGTCCTCGGTCTACCGACCGCGGAGATGTGTCGCCAGAACGGTGTGCCGCTTCCTACGTACCTGAATTACTCGATGTTCACGCACTTCCGCAACATGGGAACTGCGAAGAGCAGTGGGGTCTCGCAGCAGAAGACTGTTAGCACTGCTGCACTTTTGTCGGCAACTTCAGGCGCCGAGGGTGCTGTTTCTGTTGTGTCGGATGGGATCGTTGAGAGACTCGCTTCCCTGCTTGCTATTCCCTGCTCGGAACTTGATGCTCAGCGCTTCGGCTTTGGGAGTATTGACTCGCTTGTTGCTATGGAGTTCCGCGCGTGGATTGTTAAGGAGCTTAAGGCCGAAGTTTCGTTGCTTGATATTATGGGAGCGGAGAATATTAGGGCTTTGAGTGAGAAGATTGTTGGTAGGAGTCGGTTGATTGGAGGACCTGGTTCTTAATCTTCTTGATCTTTTGGCTCTTTTCTTTTTGCGGGTTTTCTGGGATTTGCGTTTGATATTGGTTTGCGTTGGGCTCTCATCATTTATTGGTCTCACGTCTGACGACCCGTTATGAGATATGATTATGCCGAGTCTTTTTTTCATAGGCTCTTTGTTTTTTAATGCGCATGAGGCTAGATTAGTTGATGAACAGATTGCATCCGAAAAGATTTAAGATTCGGTAATTGAGATACTTCAAATTTATTCATCCAAGTCATTCTTTGAGAATAGAAGAAACTTCCATTCCGACAAATTAAAAGTAGCAAAATGGTATGCTTGCATTATAAGATAGCTCATCCAAATCCTTGACCTTCCATTCATTATTCATAATATTCATCAACGTCTACCGTGCAGGCCCAGAGGGGAAATAGCCCCGTAAGCTCTGACTAGAAATTCCACAAACCGCCAACTTAGGTTCAGCCCCCGACCGCTCGTGGTGCCACGCACGCTCGCGTAGGGCCAAGTAAACCGAGCGAAATGGTTGGAGATCGCCAGGCATCCGAGCGGGCGGTTTACGAGGGTCGAAGCCCAGTTGCTGGAGTTGCGACTCACACCAATGCAGGGTGTCTGGTGGTAGATATTGTTCTGTGTCGTAGTCGACGTGATTTTGTTGCAAGACCTGCAGCGTCGGGATGTCGGCTGGGAGGCCAAAGTTCTCTACGCCCTTGGGTGGGTGGTGGTAGTTCATATAGGGTTTTCCGGGGGTGCGCTCTGGGTGGTCTGTTTGTTTGCGGATGTTGTGCATGTTCCAAGTTTGGACGTATGATTTGATGTGGGAACGGAGGGTGGGCATGTAGATTGCAAAGAGGGCGACTTGTTCGGGGATTACTGTTGATGAGAAGAGGCCTTCGTTGTGAAGTCCGCGAAAATAATTCTGGTTGAGATTAGTAGTCTGCGATCAGATGTAGGACGGAGGAACCCTTGGAAGTTGAAAGTTGACTAACATGGTATAGTGTTACTACTGATTTCGCAAGCTGGGCCCACCAAGATTCAATTCGGTGGGTGTCTGCAGCTCGTCCAGGTGCACAGCACTGCTCGCGCTGGACATCTGGCTCAGTGGCGCGACGGAGTGCAAAGTGAGCATCAGCTAGTAGAGGAACCTCGGACTCAAGGTCAGATCGAAGAGTGCGTGGTTGGCGGTTTTTAGAAGCAACAGTCTCCAGATGGTTTTTGAGAACGCCCACAGCCGTATGCGCATCCACGCCAACGTGTATCCAGAGAACATATCGAGAATATGCATCAAGCTCAGCATGAATGCGGAACCCGAAATTGGCTAGCTTTGAGTATCCATTCACGTGCCAAGTCAGGTTAGGCCCGGCTAGAATCTTTGGCGGGGGAGGACGTCGGGGCACATCGCTCGTGCGGCGTTCTACTGTATCTGGGCGCAGCATGCGGTAGACACTGTAGAGCCGATCGCGGGCAAAGACGTGCCCCTTGCTTCGGAAGTGATTGTGCAGTAGTTCCTTTCCATATCCCTCAATGGTTCCCTTGTCCATTTCCTCGGTCAGAGCGTCGAGGATCTCCTGGACCTGTGCTTGTTGTTGTGTGGGCGAGTCAAGACGGAGGCGAATGCCGAGCTGGTGACGGAGTCTGCGGAGCGTACGGTGGGAGACATCGTAGCCCTCGTCGTGTAGAACGGTGACGATCTCTTGGTCGGTCAGACCCACGTCGAAGAAAAGGTTTTTTATGCGAGCGTGCAGCGCTTCATTGGAGGAATTGTTTTCCATCTTTTTCTTGACTCCCCATAGCTGTAGGCGTTTGGTCAGAGTACGCGACGAGATCTGAATATCATGTTGCCGCTTCAGGTGCTTGCAAATGTCGTCACTCTTCATTTTCTTTTCATACAAGCCGATAATTTCGGCCTTGTATGGCTCGAGGTCCACCCGAGGGCGCCCTGACATCTTACTTGGCGTATTAGCTGTATTCTCCATGTTGCGAATTCAAACCAGCCAATGTTGATATGAACTAGCCGTGGGGAGATGTTAGCGGCTGGGGAAAGGCGGGCGGTGTGTCGAGATGTACCGCAGAAATCGACCGCCTTGATTTTTTTGTTATCGCAGCGACTCATCTCAAGAAACGTCCTCGCTCTGCTCAGTTACTCTCGATCGTTTTTCGGTTTAATCTCACCTAGCCGAAACAACCGCCACAATGGTCCGTGAACTCAAGCACCACGAGAAGAAGTACGTCCGCATCTATAATTCCGCCCGCAGAAATCTCAACCCGATCTTATCCAACGTCCTCAAAGCTTCAAAATACCACAAAAGATCAATTGCTAACACCAAACCCTCTGCAGGCTTCTCCGGAAGGTCGACTTCCACAATTACAAGTCGGACGGCAACCACCGCGAACATGAAATCCGCCAACGATACCTCCTCCAAGATCCAATGGACTACCGCAAATACAATGCGCTCTGTGGTTCTCTGCGCCAGCTCGCACACAAGCTCTCCCAGCTGGACCCCGATGCGGACCCGCTGCGCAAGAAGCTCGAATCCGAGCTGCTGGAGAAGCTGTGGCGCATGGGAATCCTGAAGCAGTCCCGCGAGCAGGGCGCCGGTCTGTCCAGGGTCGAGCGCGAGGTTACAGTTTCTGCACTGTGCCGTCGCCGGTTGGCTGTATTCATGGTGCGCTCTGGCATGGTTGAGACTATTAAAGCTGTAAGTTGCGACTTGGTTTGGGGTGGATGTATGCAATGGAATGCTGACTTTTATGCTAGGCCACCACTTTCATTGAGCAGGGCCATGTCCGTGTTGGTACAGAGGTCGTCAATGATCCTGCTTTCTTGGTTACTCGCAACATGGAGGACTTCGTCACCTGGGTTGATTCCAGTAAGATCAAGCGCAACATCTTGCGTTACCGTGAGAAGCTGGATGACTTTGATCTTCTGTGATCAAGTCCGTTAAAAAAAAAGCATTTTGGGTTTTTGTTCTGATATACCCGGCGCTTGTGCATTGTGGCCTGTTTTGGTTTGGCGTATTGATGTTTCATGAAATGATATCTCATTGTCCAAGATTCTCTGGATAACTCAATATGGATATGAATACCACCTATGTTCTCCATAAACTTAGAGAATAGAGCACCCGCTGTGCACTTTTAAACTTTTGACCCTGTCTACCGAAGCTCATCTCAGCTTCTAAGGGCGGGACTTGTTCGCCTGACATTGAAGGGTATGGCTCCACACCGCTTTCACAGGGTTGCCCTATGCTATTCATATTCCAAAATTGGTCTTTCTGCTCTCGCTTTTGCTATTGACTATACTATCCACGTGTATGAATGATACCACATGCATGACAACTTGAGGAATAGCAAAGAGATCCTTTTTCGATTTCAGAATAGGCTGTTCCTAAATAGCAGCCAACATCCATACTATCAGTAGCGGAAGTGCAAATCTACCAGTTATAAAATGAACATACCTCTTCCAAGCATCCGAATGACCTAGTAAAACGAGACGGGCTGAACGATGCAATTTATTAAAGTTTGCAGTAATTAAAGAACTGCTGATCGGTCATGTGTACCTCTCTAATAGGCATTGTATAAACCGGCATCTGGGGCAAATGACTATCGGCACTTAATTAGAGTGGAAGTTCCTGGTTGGTTTACCCCTCCGATCGTCCTAGAGTTGGGGTTGAAAATATTCGCTGTACCGGACTATTTTCGAAATTCTTCTGTCTACTTCATACCTCGGCTAGTAGTTGCACAAAAGTGTATACATAGAGATCAGTTGATTATGCCAGAAGATAGCATCACTAGAGCCAAAATATGTACTATATGCGGCTATGTGCAGTGTTCCAATAATAATAAGGGTATCTCAGTCAAAAAAAAAAAAAACGACAGCAATGCAACAAATGCAAAAGGGACTGGAGATAAAAATAGGCCAGAGGGTGATGTTCCCGCCAAGAAGGGACATGTGGAATGGGACCACTGGATGCAAATGCAGATCATCACTTGGGGATCATGGTATCATAGGGAAAGCAGTGAGGCAGTATAGTTTTGTGAGCAGCAACCTGTGCTAGGCTCTGTGGGTGAGGTGATAGTGATAAATGTTGAGACTCAAAGGCGGAACCAAGAATTTAGGCATTAGGAAGAGAAGACTTTGAACGCAGAGATGCCCAGCGTTTTCGAGTGCTACCAGGGGGGTTTGGATCTGGGTTGGAGATCGAGGTCTTGCCTAGGAGATCGAAGAGTTGGACTTGCGGCTTTCCTCGAGATGAATCTGGTGGCTCTTCGTCTTCAGGGAGATCCATACGGAACCGACGTACGCTGCCTTCGCGCTCAGACTTGCCTTCCTCGAAGAACGGGGTACGAGAGCCGCGGGTTTGGAAGCAGCGAGGCGCAACGCGGCGCCAGAGCCCGCGGACACCACTGCTTGCCCGGTCGATCTTCTCATACTCACGCCGCCGAGTATCGGGTGAGGTCCATTCCATTACTGTCGCCGGGACGTGGATGGACGAGGCCGAAGGGCTGTGATGGTGATTGCTGCTGGGCAAGGTATTTGATCGATCTCTCGATGTGATAAAGTGCGGCATGTTCGCCGATGTGGGTGAAGTAGACTCTGACTCAAAGCGGAAGCTGGAATATGAAGGTGCAATAGGGGACGAGGGCGCTGAGCTGCCTTTCTCTGTCGATGCACGGCCCTCGCGCTGAGATCTATATGTAGTTGACGCTGTCCGGCGGAGAGAAGATCTTGTCTCGGTTGAAGATCTGTTTGATCCATCGCCTTGGAATAGACGGCATGACTCTCGGTGTAGCGCTAGTAGTGACTCGCGCTTGTCCTGCGTGGAAGTGCGAGGTGATGTGACAGGCACGATAGCAGCGTTGGGCACAGCCCGGCGCGGCGAGTGGAAGGAACTGCGACGGCTGTTGGGCCGCGATCGCACTGTGCTGCGGGAAGCCGAGCGAGGGTGGCTCGAACTAGAGGTCGATGTCTGCGATTCTCGGCGATCTGACAATTTGGGCACATTTCCAGGTGGATCGATTCTCTTGACCTTGGCCATCTCAGATGGGTATATAGGTGAGTCGCATCCCTTGAGCTCTGTGACAACAGGCTCGCACTTAGAAATAGCCAGAGACGGCTGAACCAGACATGTGACGGAGGCCATTTCCCGTCAGCGGGAAACTTCGATCATAGGCAAATATAGGCAGGTGCCCTAATCAGATGTACTTCCAAAGATGATGTATATAAGATTAGGGTTAATGTGTATTAAAACGAGAGGTCGACTCCATCTTGAAGGCAAATGAATAGAAACGAATTTTTTTTTTTTTAGTAAAATGTAACCTGAACAGCAAATCTCTTTCTTTTTATTCCAATACGCTGGGCACACCGCTCCTCATCTATTTTAGCGGAGTGGGGGGGTAGGGGGGTCGTCTAGAGTGTCTGGCCATGATCGTCCTATAAAGGCGCTTGCAGTTTCGAATGCAGGGGTTTTATTGTGAAGTATGGGGTAATAATAGGCCAGGGTAATTTATAGTCAGCTATAGTATGCTAATAATAACGATAATATGTATGAATAAAAGCAAATTATTTACACCCACATGGCTATATAGCATAATATTATTGGAACTGTGGACGATCGTAAATAATAGACACTACGCTAACTACGCTAACCTATGCTAGGCATTGCATCCTGCATGTATCTTTACTGTTGGGAACCCTAGTCTCAACTAGGTCTACAAAATGACACAAAACAAGTATTCGCAAAGAGAAGAAACTTGAATGCATTCAATGATAGTCATCAACTTTCTGATTTATAGAGAATAAATGAACTCGGGGTTCTCCCGATCTGTTAGATCAAGCCACCTGCAAAAGTTAGTACAACTAACTAGAAAGTGCCGACGTAAATTACTCACTCTTGATTCTCTAGTCTCACATACTCTGGTTGAGCAGTGACAAGGGCCTTCTTCGCGTTCTCGCGGCGATACCACATCCACACTCCGACCAGCAGGAATAAACACACACCCCAGCAGACGATAATTGTCACCTCGGCGGAGACATAACGGGGGGCGTCCTCTGGACGGAAGGTTTGTGGGCCTGTCAGTGGTGTTAGCGCTCCATATGTTTTGCCCCTGTCTCCTTTATTTTCTTACCAATAATATTTCCGACACAATATCCAATCAGATACAAAGCCGCCACAGTAGTCTTCTTAGTATATCCCGCAACATTAGAAGAAATCAGTGACAGTAATGCGACAAAAGGTGTTGGACTGGCTTGTGTGAGGTAATAGCCGATTAGACGACCGACGTTGTTTGATAGGGGAAGGGCGACAATGAGAAGCATTCCCACAATTGCAGCGATCAGCCCACCCAAACTGGCAAGGACGCGCTGCCCGGTGATATGTCCGACATAGCCGTTAAGCAACAGCGCAACGATTTCCACTGCGCCGCCCGGGACACCCAGAATTAGACTCTCCTTCTCGTTGTATCCGAAGCTTGTAATCTGGACTGATCAGCATGCTTGCAATCTTAAAGTCTTTATGAACGACCACATACCAATTGGTTGAAGAAATTTGTAATACCCCCATTCGGAATATCAGCAATCAAAGCGTAAAAGAAGAAAGCCCAGGTCATTGGATCCAGCAGTGCCTCTTTGACCTGATACATCTTGAAGTTCTTATTTCCAATACCCTGCTGATTGACCCGTACACGGGCAACGGCCAAGACGCGATCTTCTTCATTCAACCAGCGTGCATTAAGTTGGTTGTCTGGCACGACCCAGAGGAATATCAGTCCCAGGCAGATAGTGAGGAGGCCGGTGACGAGGAAAATAATCTTCCATGGCTCAATGGAGGACCCATGTTTCTCGGTACCGACGGCGATACCGTAGGCGACTACTCCGCCGAAGATCTGGCCCACGCCATTGAAGCTGAACCATATGTTGACGCGGCTGCCTTGTTCTTGTTTTGTGTACCACTGTTTGGGACTGTGTTAGCTCGGCTCAATGTATCTAGTTCGTAGCCTATGATCATTGTCGGAGCAAGAACAGGGGTGGTGTCTATACCTGAGAAGTTAAAAGGGCAAAGCCTGGTGTTACAGCGGCTTCGAATACACCAAGCATAAAGCGGATAGCGATAGCTCCGGGGTAGTTGTTGACAGCAGCAAAACAACTGAGAATCAACCCCCAGATCAAGATGCAGGCTGCAGAGTATTTTCCTAGTGGAAGGCGCTGGAGGAGGCGGTTGGTCGGGTACTCCCAGGCGAGATAACCTATGCAGAAGAGCTATCAGATTTGATGCCCTCGAAAAATCAACATAAGAGGAGGAGAAAAGAGATTAAACATACCAAAGTAGAACAAACTCCCGAGCCACTGATACTGGTCTCCTTCAAGATTCAGATCCTTCTTCAGACCCATAACACTAGCATAGGAGAGAGTGGTTTCTATAACATCGGATCACAGATTAACACTAGTTGGACAAACAGCCAACAGAACAAAGCATAAAACCAAGATCTCTCTTGCTTTGCTCCATTTGGAAACGAAATCGAGGAAAGGTACGCGCATACTATCCAGATAATTCATGCCATAGACAACGCACATGATGGGCATCATATGCCAATCGATAATTTTTAATAGGCGACGATTCGTAGGCTCGTCTAGCTCGATAGTTTCGCCATGAAGACCGCCAAAGACCTTCATGGCCTCATCGGCATCGTGTGCATGCTTCTCGATGGTGGGATCGACATGCTTTATCTTGTCCACGTTGATGCCGGTGTCCACGCCAGAGGAAATACCGATATCCTTTTCGTCTGAGCCCATGGTGTCGGTCCTATACGGCAGAGGGTGGAGTAATCAAGATCAGACAATGTGTCACAGATCGGAATTGAGTCCTCGAGCCAGCGGTAGGGTAACTATAAGTAATACCGAGTTAGTGTATAAGGAGAGATCAAAAGAAAAACCACCGGACGGGCACAGCTAAATAATGTATAAAAGCATAGCGGGAACTCCGCACGTCCGATAGCTATACAGGATGATCTTACTGCGGACTAGTACTAGCTAGGCTATCATACCCCGTACCCTGTACCGCCGAGCAAAAACGGGTAGAGCTACATAGTACATGTTATCTCGAGAGAATCTCCTCAAACCTATTAAGTAGCCCAATGCAGCTCGTCAAATTTATTGTCTATCCACGATAAGGCGTTTTATCTCGGTTTTCCGATGTGTCTTGGATAGCCAAGAAAGGGAGAGGTAGGGGATGCCTCTTAGATAGCTCAAGAGAGGGGAGAGGGAGGGGACGTCTCTTAGATAGCCCAAGAGAGGGAGAGTGAGGGGAATGATCGGCATTGATACTTTGTCTTCTGGACATGTTGATTTATTAATATGCATATTGCAGTTACAAAATAATGAAACACGGATATAACATACTATTTTTGGTGTAGAAGAATATTATATATCGGAATTACGGAAATTATAAGTATCTACCAGGATACTATGTCCTAGGCAATGTAGAATATTACCGACATGCTGATACTTCGGTGGGCTTCCGAGCTGAAGCAAAAGTACCCTATTACTCTTATCTCTGTTGTCCGCGGGGGAATCCGACTTCGGGAGTTTGGAGAAGGCCTTATCAAAGCTACCCCAAACATTCGCAGGGATCGACGGGATGGATTATGCTGTTGACTTGACCTTGCCATTGCATCGTCTGTGCATGCAGGAAATCCCTTACATAGAGAGACTCGACTCAATGTAAGAAAGCAGCAAGCTGCAAAATGGTTATATAGCATGTCATCAAATCTAGAATTTTCATTATGCATCACCTCGCATGTAAGTACAGTATAACGGGGGTTGCACGCTCTATTGCGCGCCCACACGGGCCAGGTACGCCTCCCAGCCCTGCTGTTGGTACTGCTTAGCGGCCTCGACAGGATCCGCAGCGGCATAAATACCACGACCAGAGATAATAAAGTCCGCACCGCGGCCAATAGCCGACTGGGGGGTCTGGTACTGCTGACCGAGCTTATCGCCCTTGGACGAGAGATTGACGCCAGTGGTGAAGACGACAAAGTCCTCGCCCTGTGCGGGCACCTCAGTAGACTCGACCTCACCCAGGGACCGAGTCGAGACAAAGCCTAGCACAAAGCTGGGGTACTTGCGCGCGATGTCGACGGAAGCGGAGGTGTAGGCGCCCGTTGCGAGGGATCCCTTCGATGTCATCTCGGCGAGGATGAGGAGGCCGCGCTCGGAGCCGTAGGGGAAGTCAGTAGCCTGGGCGGTCTGCGCCAAGGCCTCGACGATGCCCTCGCCAGGTAGGACGGAGCAGTTGATAATGTGGGCCCATTCGGAGATGCGGAGGGTGCCGTTGTGGTATTGTTTCTGGACTGTGTTGCCGATGTCGATGAATTTGCGGTCTTCGAAGATGAGGAAGTTGTGCTTTTGGGCTAGGGCGTTCAGGCCATCGATTGTTGCTTGGCTGAAGTCGGAGAGGATATCGATGTGTGTTTTAATCACGGCGATGTAGGGGCCAAGGCCTGTGGATGGGTTAGTGGGCTGTTTGGAGGGGTGGGGTCGGTTGCGTTCACGTACGGTCGGCGAGGTCCAGGAGCTCCTTTGTTGTAGTCACATCGGCGGAAACGGTGACATTGCTCTTCTTCTCTTCGGCGACCTGGAAAAGCTTACGCGCGAGAGGATTGGGGTGCGATTGAGCGCGTGCGCTGTAGGTCAATTGCGACTTAGACGACATGGCGGGGTCAGGTGAAAAGATGGTTATGTATTTGATACGCGTTTTTTGAGATTTCAAGAGGAAATTCAATGAATTGAGTCGAATGACAAATGTCTCCAGAATACAATCTTTGTCCAAAAGCAGAATAATAGAAGTTCGAGTCAAAGTTCGAGTCAAAGAACCTTCGGGGAACTTTTTCTGCCACAGTGGACCCCCATTGGGCGCTGCAGCTGTGGCGCACAATACATTCGCATTATAGAAATACATACTTCTTCAATTTGAAGACATTTAAGAGAATTTCACGCCTCAAGCTTTTAGGTTTAAAGCAGTTCCTTTCCAACACCGAAGACACTCAATCCCCAGAGAGCACCCTGCACCAGCCAGAAGAATGCGCCTACCATGCGGCCCTTGCCCTGCGGCTTGTTGGAGTACACATAGCCGTAAAGGAAAAGAGCGCGGAAGAAAACCCACAGAGCACCCAGACCAGCAGCCAACTCCGGGTACTTCAGACCAGCGACCAGGGTGAAGAGCATTGTCTGCGAGGCATTCTCGAGGAAGTTGGTGTGAGCGCGCTGGGCGCAGTTGAACTGTTCAGCTTTCCGCTATAAATAGTTTAGTATGTGCGATTGGTACATTATACTTATAAGAAGTATTTTTTCCTTTGAATAAGGGGCTTGGCAAGGAGTGATAAAGGGAATTGGACGCACGTTTTCCTTGCATAGCTCCATCGAGGCATAGCTGTGAGGGTAGGGCACCTTGGCCTCCTTGCGGAAGCTACCAGTGATACAACCATGAACGAATCCCAAGACGGGAATGGCGCCGAGGGCGACGCCAATGACAGCACTGGGAATGTTAGTCTTTTCAGGAAAACTTGAAGCTTGAAGGACCTACCCGTAGTTGCTAGGAATAATGAATGCGACCATGACGAGAGAATCCGGGGAAATGATGTGATAGCTTTGTGGTGGCTGATCGTGGTCCTTTTATACCCACTTGGGGATTCGGGGGTCACAGGCTCCGAGCTCCCGTCGGTACATCGATTTGGCCGTCCCGGGGCCTCGTTCCGGGGCCTTTCAAGCTCTATGTGCGGAGTGATATAGTTGGCCTTTTAGATCTCGAAGAATATTCTACGTCTTGCGCTCTTTGTTTCATTTGTGGAATTGACAGTGAAGAATCCGACTTTATGCAAGGGGTGCTTTTTAACATTTCACGAATATTCGAGAGCTATGAGTCTCGGCATATGTCAAGAGAAATTGGATACACAAAATGGCTAAATGTTGAAATGCTCATGCTGTCACGTTCGGTATTATCCTACTTACACTTCCGTACTTAGCCTGCCAAGCGAAGAAGTACAGAAGGGCTCCAAGTGGTTGTCCGACTAGACAAAAGCTGACCCAGAAGATACAGTTTCCAATGACCCTGCCTTCAGGCCCACGCATTTTCTCCAACGGTTCGGTGAGGCTAATCAATGGCAGCTGGAACATCATTCCAAAGAACGCGACACCTGGACTTGATTAGGCTTTGAGTTGTGATCAGAGAGTGAAATACATACCAATGAAATTATGCGTGGGAATGCCAACGAGCATTTCGTGAAGAATCGCGGAGAGCATGAAAACCATTCCACTCGCAGCCAGAGGACTCCATCCACGACCCACCAGCGGCGAGTAGACATGTCTCTTCATGAATAGGTAGACAGGCCGGTTCCAGGATCGCCAATAAGCACCCAGACTGGAGCTGTTCCACCAGTCGGTGTAAAACTCGCGGTCTCCAAACTGCATGACTTCGGCCAAGGCGTTCAAAAGCGCTTGGAACAACGCAAAGAAGCCTGCAAGCCAAATAACCAACGAGATAGTGGACAGCTTCATAACCCGCTCCAATATGGAAGTAATGTCCATTACTGCGATCTTATCAATAGAGTTCCGCAACACAGGTGCGGCATACTGCGCAGACAGAAGCCAAATGAACACTGCCAGGACCACGAACTCCGCAAGGCGCTTTGCAACAAATGACCACCGGATGGATGCTGTGCGTGGATAAACAGGCTGATACACCAGCGTCGGTGCCAGCCAGAAGTACGCCAGATTATTGATGGTAATATTCCTCGGGTAGGGGCACGAGGAGTAGATTTCGGGCAGACCAGGGTCTGCGGAGGGATTGAGTAGAGCGAGACGGAGGTCTCGGTTTGTGAAGGCATAAGAGCAGTTCTTCAACCACACGATAATCGCGTGCAACTCGCATATTGTCCCAATGCCTGGGTGGTGGATGTAGAAATATACCACGAAGCTAGTTACTGTCAGACATAGCGTGGCATTAAGCGTGTGTAGGAAAGCAGTGTACGGCCATGTCGACTGGAAGACCTTCTGGTCGTGCTCTTTTTCTTTTTCTGTCTTCTTTTGACGACCCACTGCATTCTTGGCTGCAGTAGCGGCTGATAGCTCAATGATGTATGCCACGAGCAAATGGCATGGAACCGAGGCAAATAATATAGACCCAAGAACAACGTCTTGCCTGCGGTAGTCGTGGCATTTGATGCAGATTAGCACGCCATACTATATGCTTATTAGTTGACAATTCGAAACAGTAACTGAAGAATTGAATCACCCACTTTCATGAAGTTCTCAATAATTAATCGCAGGTTCATCGCCACTGCCGGAACATTAGCCGTTTCCATATACAAAGGTACAATTCTCCACTAATCCTTACCAAGTACCAACACCATGAGATTTCGAAAACCCAGGAAGTTGGGGAGCACATCAGCCTCTCGACTGAGGCTGGAATGACGAGCTTCTGAGTGATACGCAGCTACATGGCGATATTTACTGCGTCTCTTTTTTGTTGAGGTTGATGGCGGAGAAACCTCGGTTTCATTGATGGCACCGTTTTTTGAATTGAGTTCCTCTCGAGCACTCTCAATAGCTCCAGTGAGAGCCATCTTAATACCTCTGCGACCTCGGCAATGTGAGAAATCGAAGGGTCTAGGCGAGCTTCGATGAAACCGGGGCACCGACGGGCAATGCGAAGATTCGAGTAACAACTAGAGCGCACAATTAGGGTAGATAAACAGAGAATAAGAGAAAGAGAAGCTAAAAAGACAAAAAGACCAGAAACAAGATTGATTTAATACTGAACATTGGCGGGGGAGACATAGCGCAAGCTTGCAGATAAAACCCGCAGGGCCAATCAGCGTCACAGGTGCTCAAGGGACGGATTCTGCGCTCCGAAGAGCTTCGACTCTCTCCGCATCTTTTTGTTCTTTCTTAGCTTTTGATTCAATATTCAAAATCTGAATCAATTATCTTTGATCCTCATGTTCGCGAACAGACAGCCTTGATCCTGTACATCCTTTCAACCGGTCGCGATGGCCTACTACGACGACAATGCAGGTGATGGCCCAGGGAGGTTTGGGAAGAATTTCGACGGTCCAGTCGGACCTCGCAGACCACGTATGTTTGCTCTGAAGTGACTTTGAGATTTGCTTGTCCATAACCTGACTAACATCCGTTACTGCTAGGTCTCGTCACGGACTATGGCTCTTCAATGGTACAATGGATGCGAACACGGCAACCAAGATACAAAGGAGGATATCGATTGGAGACAGAACGACCGAGTCCCAGCTTCGCAGTCGATGTATGTGTTGCTTGAACTGTCCTGGCCTGACAAATAGACTGACTTACGATAGGTTCTTCCCCCGATGGCGCGACCCTATTCTGCGGTCGATACAATCCCCGTGCGACACCTTCACCAGTCAATCGGAAAATCAAAGAAACCCATCGTCGTGGTGCGATGGACCCCCGAGGGAAGACGGCTGTTGACCGGCGGTCATACGGGAGAGTTTATGCTTTGGAATGGAACGGCATTCAATTTCGAGACGGTTATGGATGTGCGTAATTCGAGCTTCCGCGGATTGTCCTCTTGCTAATCTGAGATGTCCCCCTGGTGCAGGCACACTACGATCAAATACAGGCTGGTGTCACTTCCTTGGCATGGGCCCATAGTCAGGACTGGCTGGTCTCTGGTGGACAAAGGGGTGATATCAAATACTGGCGACCTAATTTCAACAACGTCGAGACGATCGATGACGCGCACCACGATGCAGTCCGCGATCTGGCCTGGGCACCCAGTGATACCAAGTTCCTTTCAGCATCCGATGACACAACTCTCAAAATTTTCGACTTTGCAACCCGAACGGCCGACGCAACACTGACCGGACACAACTGGGATGTCAAGTCCTGCGACTGGCACCCGACCAAGGGTCTGATTGTTTCTGGATCGAAGGACCACCAGGTCAAGTTCTGGGATCCGCGCACTGGTCGCTGCTTGACCACCCTCCACAGCCACAAGAACACTGTCACATCGACGCGATTCTCGCGCGTGAACAGCAACCTCCTTGCTACATCGTCACGAGACCAGACTGCGAGGGTATTTGATTTGCGGATGATGCGCGATATTTGCATTCTGCGAGGCCATGACAAGCCGGTTTCTTCTTTGACGTGGCATCCGATTCACAGTAACCTTATCTCGACTGGTGCCGAGGATGGTTCTCTCTATCATTATCTACTTGATGAGCCTCACCTGCCTCCCGGCCAGATCCCTACCGTGGCACCTTACGACAGCCCGGACCCGGCCAATACTCCGCCGCAGGTGATCTATCCGGCACATCGCATACAGTACGCGCACGGTGCTACAATTTGGTCACTAGACTGGCACCCACTGGGTCATATCTTGGCTTCTGGATCTAAGGATAACTTCACTCGATTCTGGTCGCGGACTCGGCCTGGCGAGACTAGCTATATGAAAGACAGATTCCACATCGGCGAAGAGGCTGCAGAAGCCCAGGGAACATGGAATCGCGGGTTTGGCCGGAAACAAATGCGCGAGGACGAGGAGCAAGAAATGCAGGACGAAGCCGATAGCCTGGTCGATCAACGACGACCAGGTGGCCCTGCTCTACCGGGTATTCAAAGTGCGCCGCCGGCCGGCCCTCAGCCCGATGCTCCAGGTTTGTTACCTGGTATTGGCAGTGCTCAGCCTCGGCAGCCAGGAATGGATGGCGCTATGGGTGGGATGAATCCAGACCGTTTGGCTGCACTCATGTCCACCCACCCTACATCGCAGTTGAGTACTCCCACACCTGGAATCCATGGGTTCCCTATGCAGCATGGTATGGCCGGAACACCGCCCATGAATATGGATCTAGCACAATTGCAGAAGCAACTCCAGGGTTTCCCCATGCCACAGAATCTCAACCTCCAAGTTTTGGCGAACAACCCTGGCTTCCCTGGTGGATTTGGTGGCCTGCCTGGTTTGCAAGGCGGTAGTATGCCCGATGGCAATCGGAGACAGTGATGAAAAATGGACGTCTGATTTGAAATGCATGTTGAATCGGCTTGGCATTGGCGCAAAGGACATAGCATGACTACTTTGATGTGGGGCGACGGCGTTATTTGAGACATCGAATCCCATTTGTATCATAAGAAATTTCGGGCATTTCGAAGTATCCTGAATCTTGTTGATGAGACTGTTTGCGTAGGTTGGTTGGATCATGTTCCAATTCGCAGCTGCCGTACACGTAGACAATTGTTGTATTCTGTAAATAGTGTCGTCGAAGGTAGTAGCAGCCGGGATACCATTCAAAGGCCACCTTGCATGGGAAAGCTGGTGACAATGAGAACCATAACATTGACACATCCCCATATCATCGGTAGCCAAGTTGACATCCTGAAATTGCCTGCCTCATACACCGCGCCGAGGCTATTCACCGCGAAAGTGTCAGCTACTTAACCAATCCGGGGATCTCAAGTGTTAAGCAACCAACTTACACAACTCCAACTATACTCCCGGCCAAAAGCCCCTCCAGCCCTGCGATAATACTGTACACCAACGGCACAATCCATATCACGTTCCAGTTACGGAAATGAGTCAATACCGCACATCCAGAAACCGTGAGATGTGTCGCGGCGTAGAATAACAGTGTCCAAAAAAGCGTGAAGCGCCAGATGTCCTTCGTGTAGTATAGATAGTGTGCTTGGTGATGATGCGCCGGCAGGGGATCGTACAAAGACGGAAAGGAAGGTACTTCGTAGTTAATTGGGACGCGGTTGTTAGCCATGGAGAGGTAGCTGCGCCGGTTCAGCTGCAGCGAATATCAATCATCGAAGCATGACACGTGAATAGGGGACAGCCACTTTAACCATACAGTTGTGTATGTGTTCCACGCGTAACAAAAAAGGCAAGTCTGGAGACTCTCGGAGATGACGATGCTTGTTTGCACTGTTTGGCTACATCTCATTGGTCAGTTTTGGGTGGACGCCCGTATCTGGCTCTGGACCCCCGGACCTCGGCTTCTCCGCGGTTGATCATCTTACTCCTTGTGCGATGTAGAGCCTCTTGTCTGGGAGCATCCCTATCACCTCCAGTCTTGAAATGGCCACAGAACGATCTCTAGCAACGCTGCTGCGGTCACTGCAGGCGACTTCCAGCTTCCAAGATGCCGCTGCGTAAGTGCCACACTCCCAATCCGATTGCGGATCAATGTTAGACTAACAACAGGCCAATTCAGCCTTCTTCCCACGGCTACTAGTTTCCTGTCAATGCTGGGGAATCCTCTGAATCTGACACTTCTTTCGTCACAACTCCTTACTGCGCCTTCGCTCTGGAGCCACCCCGTCGACCTTCAATCATGTCGCAAGATCCTTAGCGTCTTCAACACTGCCGCCATCGCTGTCTTGCAGAATGATACTACTGACGAACCTAGGATACCATACGGGCGGAATAGGAAGATAGAGTATGAGGCGTGGGTTAAGGCGGTCGCTGAGGGCGCCGACGATAAGTCCCCGCGATGGAGGCATACGCTTCTGCTGGGCGGTATCTTGATGGGATTCGAGGGACAAAACCGACGGGGCTTACCCCGGCATATTCGGGTGAAACTTGAGTCCGCGCTTGCGAGAGCGGCACAATTAGCACTGGAGGAGGTTGGCACCGAGGCCGGGGTTGATGGACAGTGCATCACCATGGTCTTGAACTACACTTTTGAGCTTCTATCAGATCTCGAGCGAAGCAAGCTGGATTATGATCGATTGCTTCCGGCAATGATCCAATCGGCATACTTGTCTTCGGAGGGCCTCGAAGGTGGCTACTTTTTGGGATCTATTGATCAGGATGTTGTTGAGGCCCCTGGGAAGCAGTTTCGCTGGTCGGCCAACTCCCCCACGTTTGGCATTGTCTCGGCGGTAGCTGCTCGTCCGCTTGTGTCCACCTTGGGGCCTTTGTCTCGTCTTATTGCGCATTCTATTGATAATGTTCGGGATCCGAGAATTGTAGCGCAGACTGTTGATTATGTCGCGGGCTTTGTTCGGACGCTCATGGTTCAATGGCGGCAGAATAAATTGTCTGAGATTGATGTTGCGGAAGAAGGAGAGTTCCTAGACGCTGAATCTCGGGAAACTACCCTTCCTGCCCTCTGGAAGATGTTGCGAAATTGCTTATATTCGGTGGTTATCACCCTTCGGGCTGTGCTGGGGAGAACTATCAATGACCCAGCTCTTGCCGCGAGCAGTAGTAAGTTACAGACCAGTCGTGATATTTCCTTTATACTAACTATGCTGTCTCCAGGTGCCCCGTACCTATCGATGCAATGCCTCCATATACTTCGCAACATGTATTTCATCTCGTCTCGGCTTGGCCAGAATGCATCATCGCAACAGACGTTCGTGCTGCTGGCAGCTATAGACATCCTTTCACAATACCCCGTTCTTGCCGAGAACTTCCTGCGAAGCATTAAGCCAAGCGATATTGGACAAATTCCCGCTCACCCAGTTGAACGATGTCTGGATCTTTTCTTCTTGAATGTGGCAGAGCATTTCCCTCTCGTCCTGTCCTCAGAAACGAACGAGGAACTATTATTGTCCGCTGCTTTCCCATATCTTGCAACCGGTGCGAACAGCCTTCTGCTGGAGATATTTGAAGCTGCTCACAGCCTGGTGCTTGTTGTCTTCGCTATCCCTCACAACTCGGAATTAGCTGCTAAACACCTGCCTTTCTATATCGAAAATCTTTTTGCCGTGAGTTCCATCTCTCTATTACATGAAAGTAGATTCTAATCGTCTACAGGTTTTTCCCGATAACCTTTCTGCGCGCCAATTCCGTCTCGCTTTCAAGACTGTCATCCAAATTACAGCACCTCCTTCTCCTCTAGCAAATAGCCAGCCCCTTCTCCCCTCTATCTTGCTGGAAGTTGTTCACGACCGTGCTTTGAAAGCTTCCTCTACACCACTCCCTCCGCAGGGTCCAAATCCAGACATGAGCCAGAGTCCACCTGTCTCCGAACAGGCTGTCCTGACCCTTGCTCTTATCGATTCCCTTTCATTCCTCCTAGTCGATGATCTGAAAGAATGGCTCCCCTTATCAGCCCAATTGATCAACGCAATTTCCGACCGCAACATGCGGCATGCTTGTATCGAGCGTTTCTGGGAAGCCCTGGCCGGTGGCGAGATGGATGTTGATCGATCCCACTGCTGTGTTACATGGTGGAGCACCGAAGGTGGACGTGAACTAGTTCTTTTCGGTGCCGAGACCGCCCCAGGCGAGTCAGATGAGAGTGGACCTTACATGAGTGGTGCGGTTGGAGGAGTCGCGCCTGAAAGTAAGCTATAATGATGACAATGTAAATAGCCTACAAGATTGAAGCTACCACGCCTACGGGTGTGCTCATGCCTTATACCATATACCATATACCAGACTTCAAATCAATCCAGCATAGCTCCATAAATCTCACAACAGGTGGTTGCTTTTGTATGTACTCAATTTCATAGTTGTTTTACCACATAGTTCGCAACTAAATTCCGGGGATACCCACCCGGGTAGCTTTTCTGTACTGAACATACTCGTCGCCAAAGAAGGAGATCAAGTAAGCTTCTTCGCCTGTCTCCGCATAAACCAGTTAGCAAGATATTCAGCATACAAAAACGGAAAGATAACTTACGCTTGATCCGGCTCGAGAAGAACCGCCACAATACTAGGGCATATCCAACAAAGCAAACCATATTCCCCAGGATCAGCTGTGTTCCCAAGCCCCACCAGAAGAACCCAAAGTAGCTCGGATGCCGCAGATAACCATAAAGACCAGTATGAACCAAAACATGACCCTCCTGATGCTGACTCTGCACATGATGGTTGAAGTTACTGGCAGCCTGTGCCATAGCAGTTGTCCGAACAACCTGTCCGATCAACAAAAGCACAAAGCCTACGACAACAAGCAGCGAGACCGAGCTTCCGAAAAAGGGTTCTGTCACAGTGAAAATCCGTCCAGCAGCAGTCTGTCCGGGCCAGAAAACATTCGATACAAGGCACTCCACAATGGCAGACCCGTGCGCAATATTATATGCCCATCCGTTCGATGACAGCAGGAACGCGGAGACAGTCGCATACCACGTGTTGTACCGCGCCGTCACGTAGAATTCCAGGAAGTGGAACAGGCTCAGCGAGGCGACGAAGAAGGGTACGCGCCAGAGTGGAGTTGGGTACACGGTGCTTAGGAGCAACGATATGCTTGCTGATAGCCCGAGGCTGGTTCCGAGGAGCATTGCGCGCAGCGAGATCCCCGCCAATGACATCTTGCCGTCCGGGTAGATCGAGGTATAGGGGTCGGGCATGTCGGTTGAGTCGTCAGATGAGAAGTATGATGCATCACTGCTGGCGCGGTTGTGGATTGCAGTCCTGGGGGTATGCGTGAAGTTCGGGGCTTTGTTTGGCTCTGCGCCGGAGGTTGTTGCGTTGGAGAGCATTGTCAAATAAATCGGGGGGCGGCTTGTAGAGGAAAGAGACTTGGGGTGTTTATTTGGTCAGGGTTCAAGCATTTCGAGAGAATAGACGAAATTTAAATAGTGGGCGTTGGTGGGTAGGTGTCGGTTTTCATTGTCTGGGAACAATCTGAAGAGAGTTGTATTGTTTTGCATCGGTGGACCTTTTCCCCGACATGACATCCGGGGCCCACATGGCCTTGCCTTGGCTTTAGGGTGCTCGGATCTCTATACGTTTATGAAATATTAGTTTATACACTTGGCTATTTGTCCTCTTTTCAATTATTGTATAAGATAGCTATGACTGTCACAACCATGTCGCGGCCTACTGAGAAGGAGAAGATGCTTCGCGGGGAACTCTACCGGGCGTTCACGCCAGACTTGATCGCTGCTCGTACGCGCTGCAAGTGGGCTTGTAATCGGTTCAATAAGTCGGACGAGGTACCTCGTCGGCGTCTCGTTGAAATGTGGAGAGAGTGAGTAATGCAGTCATCAATCTGGAAATATACTATCTATACTAAAACATCACACAGTATCACCGAAGACCAGACCCCTCTGCCACCGAAACTGGATGACCCCGCAGCCGACGATGCTCTTTTCGAGCAGGAACCCTGGGTCGAAGCTCCTATCAAGATGGACTACGGGTTCAATGTCAAGCTTGGAGCAGGTGTCTTCGTCAACTTCAACTGTGTCTTCGTCGACACGTGTCCTATCACAGTCGGGGCTCGCACTTTGTTCGGTCCTAATGTCAGCTTATTCTCTGGGACTCATCCGCTTGATCCTGCCCTGCGAAATGGCACTGAAGGCCCTGAGACTGGTAAGCCCATTGTTATTGGGGAGGACTGCTGGCTCGGCGGGAATGTGATTGTACTTCCTGGCGTCACTATTGGCAGAGGTGTGACTATTGGAGCTGGAAGTGTGGTCACTAAGGTCATTATATGCACATTTCCATGACCTGTTTGTACGACGTGCTGACTTTAGTTTTAGGATGTGCCCGCCTTTCATGTAGCTGCTGGCAACCCAGCTAAAATCATTCGTCGCATTGAAACGACAATGAAAGAGTGATTGCCCCTATGTCATTCATAGAATGATAGATATTAGAGAGATATAGAGCTTTCTAGTGAATTACATCTATGAGATATTGAAGTGATCAATGAAGTTGCGTCTATGTTACATGGATGTCATGCACGTCTGGTTCAGACAACGATATAGACAATGATAGATATTAAAACTACTTGTAACAATGACAAATTGAACGGAGTTTCTTAGACAATAGACAAATAAACGCCAAGAGTCCAGACTCGACGCATAAGGCCGCATAAGGGGCTGTGCATTTTTGGCGCTTTATATGTAGCTTTATATACGACGTAGCTGGAGTAATGTAGATAGGCAGTCACATTTGCTACAAACCTCACAGTAACTTTACACCTTTTTTTTTCTTCTTTCTTTCTACGTAATCAATAAATAATGTGCAATGTAGTTATGCAATAGATTCCTATAAGCTTGGTTGTACCTTTGTTAAGGAATGTCATTATCTGTTGGCTCGCCCTCTCTCCACAGAACAACGTCACTGGTCCGGCGCGTCCCCAAAAAAAGCTGTCGACCGCTTTATCTTTTCTGAAGACCTTTACTTCTCTTCTGCTCAATCCTTTTATTAAACTCACAACCCTCTTTTTCTCCAACCGTCATTCTTGTATTACCTTCATTTCACGCGTCGTTTCAACTTCCCTGGATCTCCTACGTGCGGAAAATGACATGGCTGTACCCCCGCCAGATAGCTCTTACACCCCACCTCACACTCCCTTGATCGAAGAATCTCCATTCATCAGCTCCATGGAGGATCTTGATCCTCAGGCGACCCGGAAACGTCCGCGTCTCGACAGTGGAAGTCGCGTGAGCCCGACCTTGTCGTTGGGTGGAACCTCGCGCACTGCTTCCATCGCACCTGCCTCAGACATGGATGAGGCCTCGGATTCTGGAAATCCAGCTAACAAAGTCACCATTAACACAAAATCTTCCATATCTCCCATGGCTCCCGACCTCCCTCCCTCCGACCCTGAGCTCTCCGGTAGCGATCTGGAGCTCCTACCAGATACCGATCCAGCTCCCATTCCTATTTCACTTTCCTCCTCACCCTCCTCACCCCGAAGTCCTGAAATCGAAGTTGCTGAACCCGAAGACATCAATCAAGACCCGAAAACCTCCAACTGGAAGCCACTGGGCCAAGTGGTACGGGATCAGGATGAACCCGAAGTGATAGAGATCCGAGACGTGCCTCCTCTTTCCGACTCATTCCCCAAAGTACACACAGAGATGACAGCGCGAGAGAACTTCAAGGCGCTTGGTGATATGCTTGAACATGGTAATAAGGGACTCCACACAACGACTAGCCTTGGCCAGATACTAATTCAGCGAGCAGGACACCCACGGGAAAGCACGGCGCTTACTACAATAAAACAATGGCTTCATACTTGTGCGTCTGATCTTGATCGGCTCACAATCGAGGAATTTGCGTCAGATCTAGACTTCTGGGAATATTTGCCCACCGTCCTAGATCGTCTTTTGCGCAGACAACAAGAGGTCCAATTGGATGGTATTGAAGATCTCTCAAGCTTCTTCGAGCAGTATCTTCTCGACTATGCTCGCATTGTCCTTCATCTTGTCCACTTGGACAGCGCACTTCTCAGTGGCGTCGAAGAAAATGACAAAGATATCGAAATACCTCCCAGCACCTCTCGACGATACCTTCATAGCTTCCCTTGGATGTTCCATGGTGGGCAAATTCCCTTCTTCCGGGTCTTAGAAAAACAATCCCGCACTGGAGCTCTCAATCTTTCTGCTCGACTTAAAGCCCAGGTCTTAGCAGCTCCGTTTGATGCACCCGGCGCACTCGTCCAATACACTTCGCATCTGCTTTCATTGATTCCAAAGTGTCCACAAATCATCACGATGCTCTCATTTCCTTTGGTTAACATGCTCGCATTTCTTGAATGCGACACGGAGAGGAGCCAAAATGGTGGCTCTGATTCTCCCGTTGACCTGCCTATCGATTCGACTAGCCTTCAGCCTTTTTATGAAACGGTCCGAGGAATTGACAAAACCTACCAGTCTTTTGTTGCAAAGAAATCGCAACTGGCTACTAGTGAATTGAGCGACAACCTGCTGAGCCCAATCTTCCGCAGCTACCGTTTCCTTTGCCTCGGTTACTCGGAATTTTTGCTCCAACTTGCCCAGGAATTGTCGATTAAAGTACCCGAGGACGCAGATGCAGAGCAAGCCGCTTTGTGTGTCATTTGGACATGGAAATTCGATTTCTTGAAAAAGCAAATCATGGAAGGTCGAATGGAGCTTCGAGTCCACGGCGTGGAAATGATGCAATCAGATCTGGTCAGCATTTGGGGTCAAAATGTATCCCAGAACCGCGACAGGATCGAGATGCCGTTTCTGAAATACTTGGTTGAATATCTTCGGGAAAACAAGATCCTCGAGTATCTTGTGGGCATTGACTCACACCCACAGTTGATCAGTCGCAGCAGTAACATCTTTGGATTTCTCATTGTGACGGGGAAATATACCGACCATGACACGGATGTTATCTGGAAAACCGTCACCGAGAGCCAAGATGATCGCACTGTCAGTGAGGTCATGTCCATGCTCGCACGAACCTTTGCCATGCATCCGTCCAGATCTAAAGCATTGCTCTATGTGTGCTCAAAATTGCTTGAGTTTCCCTTGGATCGCTTTGACAGTCGCATAATCGATTTTTGTGAGCAGCTGGTGCCTCGAATGCGCGATCGGGATCATCGAAACATGTCCGATGAGGAGCATATCGATTCTATTCCACTGAAGCTCTGCATCCGCCTAATCCGTGAGAGCTCGGGGGCGAAGGACCTACCTCTGGAACAAAAGGAACTTATGCAGGGATTTGGAACCGAGCAGCTGGGACAGTTCATCAAGGCTGGACTCAACGAAACCGACATGGCAGAGACATATGAGCGCTGCATTCAAGACATTGGAGAGATGAATGAATGCACTGCGGGTAGTATCCAAGTGTTGAACGCACTAGTACCCCGTGATGACGCACGAGAGCTTTGGAAACTTGCGACCGATTTCGACTTGACGCGCTTGGTGATAATCGAACTTCACCATCTCGTTAGTCAAGATCACGCTAAGCTCAAGGACCCGTCTTTCAAGCACGGCTTTTCCTCGCGGGTGGAAATCCTGCGGCGTCTTATTGATCTAGCACCAGAAACTATCACGCCTGATCTCGGGAACACACTCTGGAAGGAGATTTTCATGTGCAAGAATCTGGCTGCCGAAGAGCGCCAAACAATTTGGAAAATGATGGTTGATCTTACCAACCGTACCACCAAAGAGAACCCATTCCTTGAACTCTGCATTCATGAGTATTTACCAGATGTGCTTCCGAAGGATTACTCGTGCGAGGTATTGTGGTTCGCTCAACAGTCGGTCCACTACGAGATTCGAATCAAGTCACCTCCCATTGTCGGGGAAAATGAAGTCATAGCTATTCCTGGCATGGATCGAATCTGGAACTTGATACTGAGGGCACCTCCACAATCGATCGAGGCCGAGGCCATTAAGTTCGCCATCGATAGCTATCTGGACCACGGTATTGTTCGTAGGTCCCCCCGGTCGGCCATCGACGCTACCCATATTGCTCTTGTCAATCGCTGCGTGGACCAACTGAAGTCTGCCGCTGTCGCGTTGAAACCATCTTGCAATGGAACAACCGATAACGATGTTTCTATGGACATGGACAATTCCAATCGCGATATTGGAACCGATGAACTCATGTTCAGCCGGTCTCTACATTTCCTTCGTCAATTACTCCATGGATTGCGAACTCGGCCGCAGTACAACTCCCCTCGTGGCTCTCCGCCTACCCTCTCGGAACGTCCTCTGAAAGGCGAGCCGATTGAATTTCGTTATCAATGTTTTAATGGCGCTTCCATGTCCAAAAT